AGGCCCTTAGGGAGCCCTCGGCGCCTTCCCTGGGGCCGGCGGCTGCTCCCCGGGGCTGGTGCCCTGGCCCAGCTCCCACCGGGAGCACCCCAGCACGTGGGATACCCCGTGCCAGGGAAGGGGTGTCCTCGGACACCGACGGTGCACGGGGCAGGGGCAGCGGTGCCGGCCGTGACTGCCTGGCGGGTTTGGCCCTGGCACGGCCGGTTGTGCCGTGTCCCGGCTCCTGCCCAGAGCAGTGAAATGTCAAAGGAGAGGGAGGACGAGCCGTGGTGGCAGCTCTGCTTCCTTGGCTTGAGGCGAGTCCTGCTGGAGGCTTTTGCTGCTCCCCTTAGTCCTCCCCTAGGGACACGGTGTTCCTGCCTCCGGCACCCTTTCCAGCTGGAGCTGGGACAGGTACCTGGATGGGCTGCGAGGCTGCCGGGTGCTGCTGCTCCCCCAGCTCCACCGGGGAATATTGGGCACTCTGGATTTGGGATAGCCGGATTTGGGGGAGCTGGTGCTCAGTGGGACCAGGCAGCAAGGCCCTGCTGGACAGAGACAAGCCCAGGATTTCCATGGGCTCCTTTCCAAGCCCCATGCCCTGAACTGGCCACCACAATCCCCCTCCTTTTCCTCCTGGCTTTCTGGATGGGCACTCATGAGCATCCCCATCCCTCCTCCTGCGGGCCGTTCTGCACGGACATGTTGTCCCCTGCCCCTGATCCCTCGGGATGCCGGGAAAGCCGCATTCCCGGGCACCCTCGTTGGGCTCCCCTCGCTCCTGGGCCTGGCTGGGCCCTGGCACGTGGAGCAGGGGAGCACCCGGCTGGAGGGGACCGTCCCCATCCCGCCCGGACCCCCAGCCTGTGCTCAGCCATCCGTAAATCATGGAGCCGGGAAAGAGCCCGGTTGCTTAGCAACTGTTTAGCTTCCATACCAGCCTCCCGATCTATTAAATATATATATGTATTTCTATAGAGATAAATAATATATGCACGCATTGATACCGGCAGCAGCGTGCCCCAGTTCATGAGCCCGCAGGGCCAGCGCTGGCTCATGACTGGGAGCCCTGCCGTGCAGCTCAGCCATGGCAAGAGGTTCCCTAAAGAATTTGAGGAAAAAAATGTGGAAAAACGTCTCCTCCTGCTGCTTTGAGCCCCGTTTCCCCGCTCAGCACCTCCAGCTGTGGCTCTTTGTGTCCGTGTTTAACCCAACCGAGGTGGATGCGGGCCCTCAGAGGGCCGGGGAAACTGAGGGAAAGCGGCAGGTTTTGAGGAGCGTTCGCTCGGTGCCGGCTGGGCCAAGGCCACGCGCTGCATCCCGGGACGCCGGGAAGCGGCTCTCGGCTGCTGTCCCTCCCGCACCGGGACCGGCCCGGCCCGTGCTGGAGCCGCGGCGCCTGGCGCAGCTGCATGCGGCAGGAATTAATTAAGCACCGGCCGGACACAGCTTTAATTAGAGGCGGAGCGAGGAGAGGATCCCGGCTGGAGCCGGCAGCGCTGTGGGGTGTCCCTGTGGAGAAGGAGGGGTGTTAAAGTGCCACCCTGGCAGAGGGAAATGCTGCGTGCCCCGGTGTCCCCAGGGCTCAAACGTCCTCGGCCGGGGCCTTGGGCTGGTGCCGGGGGCTGCTGTATCCACGAGGCCGTGGGGCCGGCAGCGCTCGCCCGTTTGTGGGGGGTTATTGCGGGTCCTGGAACATCTGTCTGTGCTGCTCGCCGGGTCGGAGCGTGGGGCGAGCGGCGGCGCTTGGGTCCCTGCCCGGCCGGGCACGGGGCGCCGGTGTCTGCGCTGGGCTATTTATAGCACCGGGGCGTCTGCGGGTTGTTTTCCTCTTCCTTTGTTTTCCTGCCTGCGCTTGTGCCGGCCCCAGCACCGGCTCGCGGCTCTTAGCAGGAACGGGAATGTTGCAGGTGTCCGAGCGCTTCCCGATGCCTCCGCCTGGGCTGCCCGGGGTTGCCGCTGCCGGAGGGCTCCCGCTGGAACCCCTTGTCCTTCTGTCTCTCCTCCCTCTCCCAGACAGGCCCTGGCATCCCTGGGTGTCCCCAGGTGCTGGGGAGGCCTTGGGCACAGGAGATATGGGGAGAGTTGGGCAAAACACATCTGGGCACAGAGTGAAAAGTACCCAGCTTGTGGCTTTGGATTTGGGCAAATGCCCCAGTGCCTCCAGCACGGAGCTTCCTTGGAAGCCCCTGTACTCAAAGCGGGCTGGAAAAGGGCAGGTGCGGACATTTTCTGGCCTATTTGTTGTTCCTAAATATCTAGTAGCCAAAAGGAGGGACAAGAACCCATGGTAGGACGAGGCACTTACGTCTGTGGAGGTTGGGCCACCAAAGTGGTTTGAAATTCCGTGAAAATGAGAGGGCTTTTTTTAGTTGCCCTTCAGCAGGGTGAAGATGCAACACTCGGTGTCACTCCAGCGGGGTGTTTCACCCCATTTGGGGTTTATGGACCAAAACACAGAGTGACCCCCCCTGCCCAGCCTGGGCCGCTGGGCACCTCAGCTTGGTGCAAAGCCAGACGGCGGGTGCCGAGTGCTGCAGTTCAGCAACCCGGTGCCATCCTCGGCAGCCGAGCTGGTGGGAGACGAATGAGCGGGAACCGTGGGGATGTCCCCGCATGCTGGGGACTGCAGTGGTGGCTCTTGTGGCAGAGACCTTCGTCACCCGGGTTGGGTCCCCCTTGCACCAGGCTCCCTTTGATCCCCGGCTCTGCCAGGGCCCTGAGGCTCTTTCTCTCCTGAAACAGCATCGTGAGGTCTCCAAGCTGCCCATGGTCCATTCGTGTTCCCATCCTGCAGCGTCTCTGCAGCCCTGGCCCATCCGCAGGGGCCCTGGAGCTGGGTGCAGGCAGACACCCACGCGTGTGCGCGCCTGTGTAAATGCCCATTACCCAGGAGGTGACATTTCCACAGGAATCCTGCTGTACCCGTGCTGCTCTCCGTGTGTTTCAGACGTGAGAATCGATAGGCTTTAATAATGCAGGAAGATCTCGGGCTGCCTTGAGCCGCTGCCGCAGCCCGGCGCGCGGGGCGGAAGCTGCCGCACTCCGTGCCCTGCTGAGCGGCGCGACGGCCGGGGACACGGGGGCAGGAGGGCTCCCCTGCGCCGGGCTGCAGCGAGGAGGGGAAGGAGGATTCGGTCCTCGAGAGGAGAGAGCAAATAGGTAAGGAAGCGAGGAGGGAGCCGGGAATGTCCTTGGCCGGAGGGTGAATCAGAGCGCTGCTCTTGCACCGCGTTTGAGATGGTAGAGATGGTAGCCCCGGTGGTCATTGGTCCGGGTTGCCTCCCTGATGCTGCCTAATCACCCATGCTGGGAGTTGGTTTCTCCATAGTCAGGATTTTCCCGGTGGAGTTTCCCCATCCCCAGGGTGCCACTCCCGGTGGAACCAAGGCCACGTCTCGTCTGGCACAAGCTCGTGGAGGGCAGGTCTGCCTGGTGCTGCCAAAGGCGACGCTTTGGAGGTAACCCCGGCCCGGGAGCCCCAAACCTGCCTAGGGGCAGGAGCAGGGAGAGCGTCTCAGCAGGCAACACAGGGACAGAGAGGCCCCAAGTCCCAGGTATGGATTGAGCGCAGGCTGGAGCGGGTCAGGCCCTTGGGCTGGACCATGCAGTGTGCAGGGTTTGGCCAGGCTGACACGTCCCCAAGCCCTCCAGAATGTCCCAGTGTCGGCTTGTGGCCGCTGCCGGGCAGCAGAGCTGGCCCAGCCTGGCCTGTCCCTGCCCGACTCGCACCAGGGATGTAGCACAGGGCAGCTCCCCCCATCCTAAGGGGCCTCGCTCCGGTTTTCCCTGTGTTGCGTTCTTCCCGAGTGATGGCTCTGAGTTCAGCGAGGTCCCTTTGGGTTTGTGCTAGAGTCGGGCTCTTGGAGGTACCTTTAAAAGCTCAGGATTTGCCTTGATCCCCTGAGATGAGAGCTTTGAGATGTCTGGCAGCCCGGTAAAGCCGCTGCCGGAGAGGCGGCCTGACGGACACGTCTCCGAGCGCTGCAGATCCGCCTGCCCCGCGCTGGCAGCGAGGCAGCCCTGGCCTCCATGAGCTTGGGCTGCGCCGCCGTCTGTGCACCCGTCCGTGCACCCACGGCACCGTGACCGCAATCCTGCCGTTTGCAGGACGCTTCCTCTCAGGCTCTGTTCATAGGATTTCTAAAGCCTCAATCCGAGCAGCCCTTGTGGATGCACCGCGATGCTGGCGGGGCGGTGGAGGAGCCGCCGGGGGGAGCACGGGTGGGAATCCCGGAGAATGAGCTGCTTGGAAAAGAGGCCCCGTGAGCGCGTGCCAGGCGGGAGGCAGCCTGTGCGCAGGGCCCCGGCTCTGCCTTTGATCCTCCTCTGCACGGCAGGAGCTGTCGTGAGCATCCGAGGTAGGAGCGCAGCCTGGGTGCTGCCGGATGCTGCCGGGAGCTAAGGCAGCGGCTCTCCAGCGGGAGCACTGCGTGCGTGGGGAAGGGAAGCTGGGGAAGTGGCCGCCTTTGCCAAGGTCACCCCGCAGCACTGGCAGGGCGAGCAGTAGCTCTGGGCAGAATCGGGGCCCACAGTCACGTCCGTGTCGGGAGCTGGTGCAGGCTCCAACGCGGCTCGTGTCTGCGGGGAGCTCGCGGCTTTCCGAAGGGTACAGGGCCTAGATCTGAGCGCCCGATCCGAGCAGCTCCGCTTGCTTGGCCAGCCGGCCCCGCGGGGCTGGCTGGGGGGCTTTCCCCTTAGGGATCAGCCAAAGCCTGAGCGTTTCATTAGCGCTGCGCAGGGCTGTCCTCTTCCAAGGGGTTATTTTTGGAGCCAAGCAAGAAAGAATCGAGCGTGATGGCGAGGAAGGGAGCGGGGACATGTGAAGGTGAAAGAGCAGGGGCGATGGAGGAAAAGGCGCCAGGAAGGGGCCGGGGAGGTGCCGCACTGCGCCGCTCTGCCAGGCAGCTCCGGGGCACGATGCCTTGGAGCCCTCGGCACCGCGCGGTGGAGGGGCATCGGGACAGGGACTGACCCCGCGCTGCATTTCTCCCCTCGCAGGCGCCGCCGGCCGCGAGGCCGCCCACGCCGCCATGGCGCTCTACAACAACGGCGCCGACGTGCCGTCCCCGCCGGAGGCCTCCAACGGCTTCTCCCAAGCCGGCGCCTCGGGCACGTGGCACAAGGGCGAGGAGGAGGCGCGGCTGGCGGAGCCCAGCCTGGTGAAGAAGGCTCACCGCGAAATCCTGGACCACGAGCGCAAGCGGCGCGTGGAGCTCAAGTGCATGGAGCTGCAGGAGATGATGGAAGAGCAAGGGTGAGTGGTGGCTGCGCGCTGCACTGCAGGCTTGTCCCCTCTCCTATCCAAAACAGCCCTTGGAAGTAAATCCACTTTGTCCGTGTTCGGATACGTTCAGCCGGAGTATCGAACAACGTGGGGGTGGATTGATAGGTGAGGCTGATGCTGAATTGCTGCTGGAAATCCAAACCCAGGAGTGCTTGGGTTTTGGAGTCCCTGTAGGTGCCTCTGCTTGGAAATCTCAGCTCCCATCTCCGTGGTGATGGATAGAAGGGAAAGGTGAGTGATTTGCCCAAGGCCGTGCAAGCTGCCAGTGTCGGAGGAAGGGTTGTCTCATGTCCTGCTCCGTGGGAGCCGCGCGAAGCCGCCCGCGGCGGTGGCGCTGGTGCTGGAGGCAGGGATGGGGGACACTGGCTGAGCAGTGAGGAGGAAGACGGTCAGTCTTGGCCCTGAGCAGGGGGGAGCAGAAGCTGTGGCTGGGTTGGGTGGGACTGCAGGATCTGCTTCTATTGGGAGCAAATAGGGAGAAAGGCATCAAAGCAACTTTTGGTGACACCTGAAAAATGAACCGTTAGGGTTCCTGCCGTACACATTTCATTCAGGAGTTCACTGTGCTTGGGGTTTTCACCATGCTTAAAAAAAACAACAGAGGAGCTGCTGTTTAGCCCCTAATGAGACCATTTCAGCGCGTCATTGCTCTTCACACAGTAGTTTTAGGAGGTGACTGGGGCGAGAAGATCCCCTCTGCCCCGAGATCTCGTCCCACGCGCCCGGCTGTGAGTACAGTGAGGAGAAGGGCTGGAGGGAGAGCCCGCGGCCCTGACAGCTCCCTAAGACCTGATTGATGGACCAAATTCTTGAGCACGCGGGTAGACGGGGACTTAAATCAGCTGGGGAGAAGGAAAATGGATTGAGAGACGACTTCGCCAAGGCTTTCATTAAGAGCATGAGCGTGACCTAGAATTAAATTGTCTCACACAGACCAGAATAATGATGGTGCCTAATTCATCATTATGGAAATAAATAAGGCTGACCTGGCGCCTTGGGGAGCCCAGATCCTCCTTTTGGGTTCCCGTGCCCTACTAGGAGTCTTGCTATTAATATTATTATTGCTGTGGTGGGTAATAGCGATAGTGCAATCAGTATTGTTGATATTGCTATAATTGTCTTTGCTGCTATTAATGCTATTAATAACGATGATGATGGTGATACACCTCAGTGATAATATAATTACAGTAATAATCTTGGTCAGCTTGTTTAATCTCCCTGCCGCTCCCACCCTGTGCACAGGGACTCTCCTGGGGCTTTGCATGGGAAGAGCTTTGGACACGAGAGGTCTCCGCCTGTGCTGGTGCCACGTCCTGGCCGTGTCCCCTGCACCCCATGACAATTTATCTCCAAAGAGCAGGGTCCCGGGTGGCTTCATGGCAGAGGAGGCTGCGCGGGGATCTCGGCGGCCTCCTCGGTGGCTCCTCCTGCTTGTGCCGCGTCCGGCTGCGCTTCTCGCTGCCAGGCTGCCTGCGGGGTTAGTTCGAGGCTGCTGGGTTTCTTTTCTGGAAAAGAGACGTCAGCATTTCTTGTTTTGTTCCCAAAGCTGCTAAATGTGTTAAATGCAAAAATAAACCCTCTAACGGGGTTAAAAGCAGAGGCGAGGCAGGCAGGCGGACAGGCGCTGGAGGGTGTTTCCCAGCACCATGAGCCTCCTGCTGCTGTATGTCTAGGTCCCAGCGGCACCCAGGGTGGCGGGAGGCCTTTTTCCATGTCCTTTTCCTTTTGTTTGCTGCCTTGCAGACCTGCTAAACCCCCTCCATGGCTTGGTCAGGTCCCATGGGACCATTTTGCCACCCGTTCCCCAGTCATTCCACAGCCCGAGAACAGCCAACTGGGCAGCACAGCAAGTCCTCGGCCTTGGTATCTAAGCATGTCCGTGCTGGATACACCTGGAGTAAAACCCATCACTGGGATTGCTCCCAAAGCAGCCAGCTTCGGTGCCTGGACTGTGCTGCGGGCCGGCGTCCCCGCGGGGCCCCATCTCT